CCGGCCTCCGCCCGGCTGCGCGCAAACCCTGCGAGCCTGCAGACAGCCCAGGCGCCCATCGCGGATAAAGGGATAAACAAATGGATGTGGTCTGTCCCTGCAGGGGAATATTACTCGGCCTTGAAAAGGAAGGACGTTCTGACACAGGCTGCAACGTGGATGGACCCTGAGGTCATCGTGCCGAGTGAAATAAGCCAGACACACAAAACAATGCTGCTTGAGTCCCCGCATATGATGTTCCTAATGTCAAATTCATAGAGACAGAACTTCTGACCTTCCCTCCCTAGAAATAGCATCTAGGCCTCAGTTGGGTTTCAGATCCAGGCCCAGAAAAGCAACAAAACCAGCCACAGCTGACCTCAGGACCAGCTGCCTTGAATGACGGCCTCCCCCGCCCTGCTGCCCACAAATCAATCAGGGGAGACCCAGGCCCTGGAAGGACACACCTGGAAAGCTGCTGAATATTCTGTTAGATCTTCCCGTGAGACCCCCCTAAAATCTCCTCCCTTAAAACCTTAGCGCTCCCCCTCCACCTTTTCCTTCCCATTCCTGCCCCTGCCCCCAGGCACCTTCCATTACCTTCCTCACTCCCAAGCTCCAAGGGCCCTTCCTTAGCGTCTATAACTCATTTGCTAAGCCCCTTTCTCTAGGAGTTACTTCTTTTATCTCTGTGATTTACCAAATAAATGGTCTCTTGTAGAAAAAAAAAAAAAAAATTCAAAGAGGCAGGCAGTAGAAGGGTGGGGGCCTGGGGCAGGGGAATGAGGGGTTGTTTAAGGGACAGTGTCGGGTGGGAAGAAGGTAAAGTTCTGGAGGTTGGTTGCACTGCAGTGTGAATATACGTATGCATTACCACCTTACAAGAGAGGAAGCCTGGTCCCACCCACCACCACCCGAGAGCAGCGGGTCTGGGGTGTGGCCTGGACGTGGAGATTTTTTGAGGCTCCCAGGTGATTTCACCTGCGGACAGGTTGAGAGCCCGTCCCACCAGCTTCAGCTGCGCCTTTGCACCGAGGGGTTCAGTGGCCTGACCAGGGGTCACCGTGCCTGGGCCTGGCTCTGATGTTGCCCTGGGGACCCTGTCTCCTGGAGAAGGACTTGAGGCTCCAGCGGGTCCACGACATCCCCACCCCCTCTTCCAAAATGCCCGCTGTACTCTCAACACCAGCAGGTGCCGGACACGGTGCTAACCCTTACCCCACTGTTCAGGACCCCAAAGTCAGGGGGCTCCGTGCCGAGCCCAAAGCACACGGTGGCAAACCCCAGATGGTCCAGCCCTGCAGCCCCTCGAACCTCACCTTCTGTCCTGGGTCCCGTCCCGCTTCCTCTGGGTCCTTTAAGCCCAATAGCCCCCCAACAAACGGCTGCCCAGTGAATACTGCAGGTGGACCTCATTTGGATCACGTGACCTGCAGCCAACAGCAATGTGCCCACGCCAACACAGCCCTGGGCACCCTGGGTGTGCCACCTGCTCCAGCCCTGGACAGACAGGGTGAGCGCCACCTCAAGCAAAGTGAGATCTGTCTCTGCCCCCTCCAAGTCCCAGCAGCACCCTCGCATTTGCCCACCCCCCACCCCTATCACCTACTCCCACCCTAATATCACACACACACTCCGAATCCTGTTGCCATGTGACAGCTCAGCCTCTCCGTAGCAACCCACTCACCCATGTCCCCCAAATAAAATGCCAAGTATCCCCTGATGACTCCTCCTTAGAGTCTAGCCCGATGTTTCTGGAGCAGAGCTTGGCATAAAATGTTCCTAACCCTTAATTAGAAATTCCTCTCTAAGCACTTATTTTAAGGAGATCATCAGATGTGTGAGAGATTTAGCTACAGTGGTGCTTGTTAAACATAATTTTTATAGCAAAAATGTTTAACAATCGTTTTCTGGCTCAGGAGCTCTGGGAAGGGGCCAGGGCTCCTCATATTAACCAGCCACTGGTCCCACCCGGTTCCCTCCCCACTGCAGGGGGCCAGGGCCTCCTCCGCCAACACCCCAGGAGCGAGGGTGGCTGGAAGCCTGAGCCTCACGGCTGCGTGTGGGGAGGACCCCAGCCCTGAGCTTGAGGTGCTGGTGCTGCTGGCAGCAGGACCCCCCACAGCCCAGCTCTGGGAATGGGGCACCCGAGGGCCACCCTGCAGGGCGGGAAACAGGCGGCCCCTCTGGGCCGGCACTGGGGCCTCCCTCCTCTCCTTTGCCCCAGCCCACCCCACTCCTCTTCCGCCCTTGGCCTCTGAGGCGGGATGGGGGCATCCTTTAGGTTTACCCAGGGGAGGGCACGAACCAAGGGCAGCTGCGCTCTGGCCTTGCCCTGGACATATTTTGACCAGCCCTGGTTGCGGGCCTGCCTCCCTCAGCCTGGGCGGGAGCCGGGACCCGCAGAGGCGTCTGCCCTAGAAAGGAGCAGTCAGGAGCCCCGAGGGACTGGACAAGTGCCACGTGCTTCCAGTGAGAGAGCCTCAGGACAGAATGCGCATCTGAATCACGGCTGCTGTGCCCAGGGTGGTGACCTTTGCTGAGAGGGTCAGCAAGAGGCTAAACCGGCCAGGCCCACCTCCTCCCACACTCCACCCCCGGGAGGGAGCCCGCCTCCCTTCGCTGCCCCCGCTGGGGGAGAAGCAGGGTCAACACCAAGGAGCCGCCCGCCCTGGCCAGAGCCTCTGAGGACGGCGTGGGCCCCTCCATTCCAGCACCCCAGCCCCGGGAGGGGCAGCTCGCCAGAGGCCTCCCCAGTGTCGTCCTTCCCCCCCCTCCCCCCGCTGGGCACAGGGCTCCTCGCCAGACTCCACCCCTCTGGCTCCGGGAGACGCCTCTCTCCTGACTCACTGCCCCCGGCGTCCTGTCCTATCTGCCCCAGCAGACACCTAGTTCCTGGAAAGCCACCTCGGTCACACGGGCGTTTAGAGATTCTCTCACCAGAGACGCCAGGGCTTATCACTGAACAAGCAATAAAGTCACTCAGCTGCCGCCTCCTCCGGGCACTGGGCCAGGTCCAGGGTGCAAGGTGAGCTTACAGTGCGGGTAAGGGGGGTGGATGGTCCCCAATCAGACACGTCCCCTCCTAACCTCTGCAACCTTATTTGGGAAAAGGGGTTCTGCAGATGTAATTAAGGGTCTCGGCCTTCCTCTCCCTCTCTCTCTGCTGACCTCTCCCTGTTACCCCGTCTCTGTCTCACTGTTCCCCTGAACTTCGCTCTCTCTCTCTTCAGCAC